GGTAATACTTATTAAAAGATAACTGAGGCATATGAAAAATTTTAAAGAGTTCCGGCCTGCATGGCTTGGTGGTTGAGCATCGACCTATGAACCAAGAGGTCACGGTTCCGTACCCAGTCAGGGCACATGCCCGGTTACCGACTCGATCCCCAATAGAGCCGTGAAGTAAGCAGCGGATCAGTGACTCATCATTGATTCTTCTATCTCCCCCTCTCCCTTCCTCTTTCTCTGAAATCAGTAAAAACATATTTAAATTTTTTTTTTAAGTTTATTGAGGAAAAATTGATTCAAATCAGGCAGCATCCAATTTAGCAGATAGAAAGGAGCTCCGAGGAGCTGTACGAAATGAAAAACTTTTATAAGCAGAAGAGAGAGGGAACAAGGAAGTTACAGTGGGTAAAAAAGTGGGTTGGTTATTACAAGTTTACTTTCCTTTATGGAGGAAGTCTACGCAGGCAGATTACCTAACAAGTGCTGATCAGGCGATTCCTAATGACTGGTTTTAGATTCCATTTCTAGGAGAGCTGAAAATCTAAGTTAAGTCTCAGTTTGTTGACTGGGGCTTTAGCATAAGCGACTCTATTTTGGGCCTGCTGTCTTTTTTTTTTAAATAAACATACTGTATAAGCAGAAAGGAAATAGGGGAGACAAAAGCAAGGGTGGGGAAAAGTTTAAGGTGCTCTGGAGTTCCAAAGTGTAAACCAGTTTGACTGGGGTGAGTAGGGGTTTCATTTAAAGGGGAAAAGAGAAAAGTTTGGAAAAATTAGTTCTTTTGTGGAGCACCTTGAATATTAGAATAAGAAATCACAGTTTTAGGCAGTGAGGAGCCACGCCTAGTGTTTGAAAAAATTAGTCAAATGGACCTTATTTTAGCATTAAGATTCAGTAAACATTTGTTGTATATATTTACTAAATCTCTGAGGTCCTATTTTAAAATCCCCTATGATATGATTCAGACCTATCTTTAAGGATTAGGGAAGATGTTAAATAAACACAATGTGCTTTGATAAAGCTACATTAGAACTTTGTAAATGGTAGATATTAAATTTTGCCTGGTAATGAAGTTAGTGAAGATTTAACAGAGGAGAAGAAGTCTGAACTATATCTTTTTTTTTTTTAAATCCTCACCAGAGGATATTTTTCTATTGCTTATAAATGGTAGAGCTAGGAGTAGAATCCAGGCTGTCCATGATGGTATAAATGCTAACCATACATTTGCAAAATATCAAAAATGTAGTAATAAAACTTCAAACAGAATAGTGGTCCACGTTTATAACATTAGAATACCACTCATTATGATGCTGGTATGGAATGTATTCATATTTTGAAATAAGAAATACAATCTTAAACGTAATTTTCAGTGATCACCTTGATAATATGATTTTGGATTTTTTTCCAGTTGAATTTAAAGAGAAAGTGTCATTTGCCTCTTACCACTGGAATTAATGATAAAAAAAATACTCTGCAACACTAAACATGACACAAGGTGGCCTAATAGAAAAACAAAGCATCATCTGTTGACAGCATCACGAAAAAAGAAAAGTAACAAGCACAGGTGATATGCAATGTAATGTTTTCATGTAACTGTTCCCTAAGATTTGATCTTTTTTTAAAAAAATATACCTTTATTGATTTCAGAGAGAGGAAGGGAGAGGGAGAGAGAGAGATAGAAACATCAATGATGAGAGTCACTGATCGGCTGCCTCCTGCACGCCCCCTACTGGGGGTCGAGCCCACAACCCAGACATGTGCCCTGACTGGGAATCAAACCTTCATCTCCTGTATCATAATTCGAAGCTTAACTGCTGAGCCACGCCTGGCCTGGCAAGATTGGATCTTTAAAGAAAGGAAAAAAAGTATTTATGAGATTCTGCCATCCTTTAATAATTTCATTATAAATGGATGCTATTAATGAACATTTTAGAGTTTCTGACTGTATTTTTGAACTTACTAATGTTGGAGCAAAGCTATAATAACTCATTTCTCAAATTGAGAATTAAAAAAACATGCCCTTGACTTATGTTAATGGTAATAAATTAAAAAAATATTCAGAGTAAAAGGAAGTACAGGATTTCCAATATATTATTTGTATCAATACCATTACTATTTATATTCCCTAATTCAACCTATTCAAACAGAATGCCAAATAGATGAAGACTATCTAATTAAAAGCCATCAAAAAGTTCTAGGTCATGAAATACAAGTTTTTTTTCTTATTTGCCATATGAATATGCTTTGGAACTAGATAGTGGTGGTGGTTGCACAGCAATGTGAATTTACTAAATGCCACTGAATTGTGTATTTTTATTTATTTTATTATAATTTTCCAGCTTTATTGAGATGTAATTAACATATAACATTTTGTAAGGTTAAGGTGTACAATGTATTGATTTGATATGCTTATATATTGTAAAATCATTACTACAGTAAGGTTAGTTAACACCTCCAGTTAATCATCTCACATGATTACCATTTATTTTTTTGTGGTGAGAACAGTTAAGATCTCTCTTAGTAACTTTGAAGTACATAACACAGTAGTATTAACTATAGTCTCCATGCTGTACATTAGCTCCTCAGAACTTATTCATCTGGAAGTTTGTACCCTTTGACCAACATCTCCCCAGCCTCTGGTAACCAACATTCTACTCTTTGTTTCTATGAGTTTGGGTCTTTTAGAGTCCACATGTAAGTGAGATCACATGGTTTTTGTCTTTTTCTGACTTATTTCACTTAGAATAATGAATTGAGGGTTCATCCATGATGTCGATAATGGCAGGATTACCTTTCTCATAGCTGAATAATATTCCGTGTGTGTGTGTGTGTGTGTGTGTGTGTGTATTACATTGTCTTTATCCATTCATCCATAGAGAGACACTGCAGTTGTTTCCAAACCATGGATATTGTGAATATTGCTGCAATAAACAAATGAACATAGGAGTGCAGATATCTCTTTGAGATCCTGATTTTATTTCCTTTCCATATACTGTCTACCCAAAAGTGGGGCTGCTGAGTTATATAGTAGTTCTATTTTTAATTTTTTGAGAAACCTCTTGTATTGTTTTCTGTAGTGGTTGTACCAATTTACATTCCCACCAACAGTGCACAAGGGCTCCCTTTTCTCCACATCCTTGCCAATACTTGTCTTTTTGGTCATAGCCGTTCTAATGGTGAGGTGATATCACATTGTGGTTTTCATTTGTGTTTCCCTGATGATTAGTGGTGTTGAGCATCTTTTCATGTACTTGTTGGTCATTTGGATATATTTGGAAAAATGTCTATTCAGTTCCTCTGCCCATTTTTAAATTGGATTGTTTGCTTTTGTGATAGAGTTGTAAGAAGTCCTTTTATATTTTGGATATTAACCCTTTATCAGATATCTGATTTGGAAATAGTTTTCCTCATTCTGACAGTTGCCTTTTCATTTCTTGATTGTTTCTTTTTTTTTTTTAATTTACCATGTTAATCGTTTTTATTTATTTACTTATTTTTAAATGTTTTTGATTTTAGAGAAAGAGGAAGAGGGAAAAACATCGATGTGTGAGAGAAACACCGATTGGTTGCCTTCCCTAGCACCCCAACCAGGGGATCGAACTTGAAACCTGGGTATGTGCCCTGACCGGGAATTGAACCTGGGACCCTTTGGTGCAGGGGATGGCGCTCCAACTCCCGCGCCACACCAGCCAGGGCACTGATGGTTTCTTTTGCTGTGCAGAAGCTTTTTCATTGGATGCAGTCCCACTTATTTGTTTTTGCTTTTATTGCTTGGGCTTTTGGTGTCATATCCAAAAAGTCATCGCCAAGACTAACTTCAAGGAACTTTTCCCGTTTTTATTTATTTTTTAAAGTTCTATGGTTTCAAGTCTTCTGCTTAAATCTGTAGTCCATAAAATACGAGTTTATAAAGAGCCAAAATGAGTTACCAAGAAACCAAATATAAACGTTATTTGTTTTATTAAATGTTTTTAAAAAAATTTATTTCAGAGAGAGGAGAGAGGGAGAGAGAAACATCAATGATGAGACAGTGGTTAATCCGCCGCCTCCCGCACACCCCGTCCTGCAGGCGGAGCCGGAGCCCGCAACCCAAGCACGCGCCCTGACCACGGAATGGAGCCAAACCGTGACCTCCTGGCTCATAGGTCCACGCTCAACCACTGAGCCCAAACATAAACTTTAAACAAGTTAAGAAGTTGAGGTGAAGGAGATTTGAGAGCTCTCTTCAGAGATGGGACAGAGAAAGTGGTAAGGGGGACATTTTGGGGCTGGAGGCTGAGGACCCTTGTGGTTTAGGCTGCAGGCTTTTAGAACGCCTAAGGCCAGGTCTGTGCAACAAATCTGTAAAGAGCTCAGAAAAACACGCCTCGCCTGTGTCGTTCCTCTCTGATGCTCGGAGGTCTTTACATCTGTGTTCTGATCACGGGTGGCTGTCGCCAGCATAATTACTGCTTGTTGGTACTTTGCTTTTGTTTACTTATTGCCCGTCGTGCGCTACCAAAGGCCGAAAAAGAAACAAAAGTCTCCGTTCCTTGTGAAGCTAAAAAGTGGAAAGCGGCCCCGCAACCTCTTTCACGCTTCCATTTTTACCCTCGCGAACAGTTCTCAGCAGCTGTGAGAAACTAGCGGATCAAGATCCTCTGAGACGCGCTCCCGCGGGGGGGCGGGACCAGCGGGAACCCCGCCCCCGAAGCCCAATCCCAGCTCCAGGCCGGCGGACAGGAAGCAGCGGCGGGCGTAGCAGCCCAAGAACCGGCCTCCGCGCGCATGCGCTCGCCCCTGGGACGCTTGGGGGAGGGGGAGGGGCGGGAGGAAGGGGCGCGGCTCCGCGAGCCCGTTGGGCAGCCGTGCATCACGTGGCAAGGAAGGAGGCGGAGGTCCGGGACTTGGGGGAGGGAGATAGAGAAGAGGAAAGGAGCGAGGGAAGGAAAGCGGGGAAAGGAGGAAGGAAACGAACGAGGGGGAGGGAGGTCCCTGTTTTGGAGGAGCTGGGAGCGTTGCTGGCCCCCGAAGTCGAGCGAGAGGGAGGTGCTTCGCGGCTTCTCCTGCCGGGGGAGGTCTCGGCTTCCCGTGGAGTCTCCCGACCAAGCCCCTTCACCTTCTCCCTCCGGATCGATGTGCTGCTGTTAACCCGTGAGGAGGCGGCGGCGGCGGAAGATGGTGTTGCTGAGAGTGTTAATTCTGCTCTCCTGGGCGGCGGGGCTGGGA